AATGGAGGCAAGGCCTCTCTGGTTCCTGATCAAACTGCTAAATGACCATGATCCCCAAGACTCAGAAATAAGTCTCGGAACCCAGCGGCTTTTGGCAGAAATGTGTCCAGTCCCCTCAGTAGGTTACCAGCACCAGACCACCCCAGGGGGGAAAGGGTGCTGTCCCTCAACCTGCTCCCTCTTGGCGGCTCGGTCACTGCCATCCTCCAGAGGCCACTGGACAGTCAGGTTTGGGCCCTCAGTGATGATACATGTAGGTTTCATGGGATGGGGGTGGAGCTGGCCCTTTTCTCCCCGCCCCAACAAGACCCCGAGTCGCTGCCCATGAACAGCCTCTGTGCTCCTGATCAAGTTGCTTAACGGCCATGATCCCAGAGATTCAGGAACAAATCTCAGTACCCAGCAGGTTTTGGCAGAAATCCCTTCAGATTTAATTATTAAAATTTCGGAATTTCGAAATCGCGCAGCCACTACTGCAGCTGCACGACATCATATGTTATTCATAACCAGCAATAGAAAACAAATTGTCTACAGTTGCCTTTTCGGCAGATCTGAGTGGTGGGATAAAATCCCAAATAATATTGGTAGGTCTGGTGTCAAAATATTGAATGTAATGAAAATAGAGAGAGAGTAATGTGGAAATCATCTGTCCCACAGATAGGGGGAGGGTGTGGGATGGGGGGTACTCTGGGATTTTTGGTGGTGTAGAATGGGCACCAGTGAAGGGACGAGTATTTCATTATTATATGACCGAGACTTAAACCAAAAGCTTTGTAACTGCTCTCACGGTGATTCAATAAATAAATTTAGGGTGTCTGCCTTGCACGCAGGCAACATGGCCGACCCGAGTTCGATTCCTCCGCTCCTCTCGGAGAGCCCGGCAAGCTACCGAGAGTATTCGATATGCCAGACACAGTAACAACAAAGTCTCCAATGGAGACGTTACTGGGCCCGCTCGAGCAAATCGATGATCAACGGGAGGGCCTTTACTTACTTTTTACTATAACAAGAAAAAAAAATAAGGTGGAGTTCATGCCCAATTCAATCAGCCTAATCAACGACTGAATAAATAGCAATACTGCTACATTAAAATTTAAAAAGAAAATCAGGAAGAGGAGAGAAGATGACAGTGGTCACAGAGTGAGGTGTTGGAAAGTAGTGACTCAGATGATACAGATGAAAAGGCATCGGAGAAAAACGAAGAAGCCAAGATGCTAAATGAAGAACATGAAATTGTTAATAATCAAGATTCTTCAAGTCTTAAATTTACATGAATCAGCACAGTTATTTTAAATTGAAAGGCTTTTTGGGGATCGGGGTAGATATAGAACTATACTTAGTGGTACTCAAGTCCTGGCTCTGTGTTCAGGGGTCAGTCCTGGCAGTGCTTGGGAACCATATGGTGCTTGAGAACAAAACCAGGGTCTGCCATATGCAAAGCAAGTGCTTAAACCCCTGTACAATCTCTTTGGCCTTGTTTTATTTTATGATTTATTTGTTTGTGGGTCACACCCAGAAGTGCTCTCAACACTGCACTCAGTGATCTCTTTTGGTGGGGTCTGGGGTCCCATCGGCAGTGCCAGGAATCAAACCTGAGTTGGCCATATGCAAGGCAAGCATCCTACTTGATGTACTATCTCTCTAGCCCCTGGTTTGTGGGGTTTTTTTGTTTTTTGCTTTGCTTTTTGGGTCACACCCGGCAATGCACAGGGGTTACTCCTGGCTCTGCACTCAGGATTTACTCCTGGCGGTGCTCAGGGGACCATACGGGATGCTGGGAATCGAACCCGGGTCAACTGTGTGCAAGGCAAATGCCCTACCTGCTCCAGCCCCGTGTGTGTGTGTGTGTGTGTGTTAAAGGAGATATTTGCAGGATTTTAAAGAACAGAGTTGTACATCTAAATTTTGGTTGGGTGAACAAAAATACATTTTCCCCCTATATGAAGCTTCTTTGTATCTTGATTTCCTTTCTTGTTCTTCTGCAAGTTCTTTTTGGCGGCCAAGGCTATTGACGTAAGCTCTTACAAATGGACCTGTTCTTGCCCTCTAACATTCTTCATGTTAGAGCTTGTTTCTTCTAAGCTGGGTCTTGACCCCTTGTACTTTCCTCATGGCTTCTCCACTTTTTAAAAAAATATCTTAATCCCATATTTACTCCCCGCACCCTTCCCTTCACAGGGTTGCTTGCTTGCTTTCTGCTCCATCCATCCTCCTGCAATAACCACGATGCCCAGTTAGCTTTTCCTTAGGAGAAAGGTTTGGGAGGTTTCCCAGTACATTCGGTCTGTGAGAAACTCTCTAGGCCACAGGGCTTTGTGAGCACAGAGAAGATCTGCTCATTGCTCCATCACAAGACAGTCTCATTTGTCAAAGGGGTCTCGGAAACACCGTGGAAATTGTTTGGCACCTCCCATCTCTGGTTCCCTCTTCCTAAACTCAAAAGATTATTATTTACTTGTTTCATTTGGGGGGTGTGGTGGGATGTGGGCCACATCCACCTGTGCTCAGCTCTTTACTTCTAGTTCTGTGCTCAGGAAGCACTCCTGGAGGTGCTCAGGGGAACGTGATCTGAGGTGCCAGGGAATGAACTGGGGTGGGCCGGGTACAAGGTAACACCTTAACGCCTGGACTGTTTCTCCAGCCTCAAGAATTATTTTTTTGGATGCCGATTCTGAGCAACTCAGTGTGCTGATTAAAGCAATTCACATTTATGAGCAAGGATTAATTGGTTTCACTCTTTCAGGTGCATTCACCAGACTAAAACATTAATCCCAATGAATCTCCGATTGGTGGACTGAGTGTGAAACAAGATAGTAACGTTGCAGCATTTTTCTGTGGCACACCAAAGGGGCCTCCATCTCTTCAGGTCTCCAAAACAGCCTTTCTTACAAACTGGCTAGGACAGCCTATAATTGGGGAGCACCACTCGCACGTTTGGGAGCGATAAACCCAACTCATCTGTCGCTTTGCTGTGCTTACGACCCGTGTGTCTTCTTCACCCCTCTAAAATCACACATCGAAGATGCTCACGCACGGAGGATGGTTAAATCCTACCCTTCCTAAATTCCAAACCCGCGATCTCAGCATTCTAGTGACGAATTTTCCCTAAAAAAGAAAAAAAAATTTTTTTTTTCCTCCCAGACACTCTACTTGATAAAGGTTTTCAGGAACACGGTGGTCTCAGTCCTGGCTTGTCAGCAGCTGCGATGGATGGGGCAGAGTGGCGTCAGCCTATCATAACAAGGAGGTTTCTGTTCCTCCAGGTGGGCTGGGCTTAAACGAGTTCTATCTCATCCTCTCATCTCTGTGCAAGAAAAGGCTATGGCTAGGCGCTAATACCTGGCAAGGGTTAGTCCAGTGGACTGGAGAGTCAAATAGATCTGAGGGCTACTCCCCAGCTGACCCCTCCAGCAGCTCTGGGACCCCCCAAGACTCGGGGGAGGGGGGAACCGCTTCTCCAGGCTAGTCACTGCATTCTGCTTGCTAAAAGAGAGCAGCCCTTTCCGGCTGAGTCCAGTCCCCATCGGAGCCTCTGCCCCTGGAGGATGGTTCTAAGGACCAGAAGCTCCGCGTGGAAGGAGGCGAGGCAGACACGGAACGGGTGTGCACGGGACTTGCAAGGGTCCGGGGCTGCCAAGGCTCTCGCCCCTTCCTGCCCGCTGCGGACCAGACCCCCAGCATCTGTGCCCGGCAGCGCCCGACCTCTCCCTCGGCTCCGAGCGCGCGGCAGCCGCTTGTAGGGAGGCAGCCGAGAAGCTGCAAGCTCCGCCGGGCTTTCTCCCCGCCAGCGGGTCCCAGCCGCGAGCCCGGCCCCAAGGGGCGTGTTTCTCTCCAAACCCCCCGCCCCCGCCCCTGCCCCTGCCCCCTTGCCCTTTTAACCCTCTCTGCAAAGTCTGGAACCTTGACCCGAGTTCCCTTCCACGGACCTTTCCCGAGCAGCTCGGGCTCTAGAAGGAGATCAAGTTTAAAGAAAGAAAAATAGGGGGTGGGGGGAAAGGATGGGGAATGTGGAGAGGGGAAAAAAAAAAGATACCCAAACAACTCAAACGCACCCCGCCAAGGCCAGCCCAGAATCGTGCACGAAAACGCGCTTCTTCCTGCCGGTGCCTGTTTACGAGAGGGAAGTCCGCGGGGGCCCCCCCAGAGGTCGCTGGTGGCGCAGAATCGGGGCCAGATGGCAGAGAAACGGGGCAAGGGGGTGGGGGGAGAGGAAGGACAAAAACACCCAGAAAGTTTTCTTCGCTAGTTGCGACTCCTCGGCCGCCCCCCCACCCGCCACCCCTCCCGGGCCGCGGCGTAACGTGACACCCGAGCGCAACGCGGAGACCCGGGCGGCGGGCGGGCGGGCGGGCGGGTGCGAGGGAGGAGGGAAGGTTGTGGGGGGAGCCGGAGGGAGAAAAAAAGGGGAGGAGAAGGAGGAAAAACCCCCTTTCCAGGAGGTGGAGCGACGGGCGGCTCGGTGTCCGCCTCCCGATCGTCCCTGCCCGTTGGGTCGGAGGAGCCCGAACCCGGACCAAACACGCCGAGAGCGACACACACAAAGCCCGGGGAGAGGGGGGTGGGGGGGTCCACGCTGGCGCGGGACGCGAGCCCGGGCGGCCGCGAGCGAGCCCGGGGCGCGGCGGGGCGCGGCGGGGCGCGGGGGCGCTAGCCGGGGCCGCTCGGGCGGCGGCGGCGACGGCGGCGGCGGCGGCGGCGGCGGCGGCGACGGGGGACCATGCCGAGGAAAGTCTCCTGAACCCCGCAACTTGGGCCCGTCCCCGCCCCCCACGCGGGCTGCCCTCCGCGCCGGCCGGCCGCTCGCGCTTGCAGGCGGATGGGCGAGCGTTTCCTGGCACGGGCAGGCGGCGCGAGGCGGCCGAGCCGGCGATGAAGAAGAAGCAGCAGCAGCAACAGCAGCAGCAGCAGCAGCAGCAGCAGCAGCCGCCGCCGCAGCCGCCGCCACCTCCGCCGTCGTCGCCGCCGCAGCAGCAGCATCCCGGCGGCGGCGGCGGCGGCGGCGGCGGGGACCCCTGGCCCCATGGGGCACCTCTGGGGGGCGCCTCTCCCGGCCGGGGCAGCTGCAAACGCCGGAGACCCTGGCTGCCTTTCCTGCGTTTCTCCCTCCGGGACTACGGTTTCTGCATGGCCACCCTGCTGATCTTCTGCCTGGGTTCCCTCTTCTACCAGCTCGGCGGGGGACCCCCTCGCTTCCTGCTCGATCTGCGGCAGTACTTGGGTAAGGCCCGCGGCCGGGCGGCGCGAAGTTTTGCAAAGTGTGTGTGTGTGTGTGTGTGTGTGTGTGTGTGTGTGTGTGTGTTGGGGAGGGAGGGGAACGCGCCGCGGATTTTAGGGTCTCCCACTCCTCCAAGTTGGGACGCCCCCAGGGGATGCGCTGCACCCCGCGCGCCGGTTTCCACCCGCGCGTCCGTGCGTCCCGGCTGGGGGAGCCGAACCCGGCAGGTTGCTGTCCCCCGCCCCCCCCCCCTCAGTCCCCCAACCGGGGCGGTGCGATGCGGACCCTCCCCCGCCTCCGCCGCCCTGTCTTGGGTGGAGTGCACGCGTGTGTTGGTGGGTGTGTGCGCGTGGGGAGGTGCGACCCACGTTGGAGCCTGGCAGCGCGGGGAGCGGCGAGGGGAGGGGCCAGCCCCGCTCTGTGGCGTTGACAGCGGTCGTGGACCGGTCCCGTCCCGCGCGCTCGGGGTCTGGCTTGGGGAGCGAGGGGGGGCGGCGGTGACACCCCTGCACGACGGGCTCCGAGATTCCCACCTCATTCATCGTCTTGCTGCCCTCCGGCCCGGGGGACTCAGGGGGATGGGCTGGGGCAGTGTTCGGGATTCAGGCTGGCCCCGAGTTGGCTGGTCCTGGGGTCCTCCCGCGGCCAGCGGGCTGCGCTCTGGGCGGTCTGGGACTGTCCGAGGCTGCGGGTCCGCCTGGTGAGCAGATGTCGCCCGCTGGACCGGACCGTCCTCCGCGCGGTGTCTCAAGTCCCCACTTGGCGCGGTGCAGGAGAGAGGGAGAGCGAGGCGGCCTGCCTGGAGCTGAGGGTGGAAGGGATTTGCGGGGCAGGGGTGGAGGAAAGAGGGTTCCGGAGGGAGGGCGTGACTCGGAGTTGCGTGGTCCGCGCGCGGGGCGCCCCGGGGTGTCAGGTGGGACGAGCGCGCTCAGCGGGGTTCAGATTGCGGGACTGATGGGCTGGCACGCACTGCTCCGGGAAGATGCCGGTCCCCGCCCCCCACCCCCCGCAACAGGAGCATAAAGGAATTGGGGCGCGGGGTAGGAGCGGGGAGGGATCGGCTTCCTCTAAAACATCCAAGACACTTTAAACCCAGCCCACTCACTCCAAACTGCGGGCATCAGCTCCCCGACCGGGCGCGCCTCGAGAAGCCACCGAAGCGTGGGGACCCCCAAGGGTTAACTGGCTTGGAAGCCCCCCCCCTCCACGCTGTCCAAAGTCCCTTTGTCGCTGAAGCCACGAGTCTAGGTTACATAGACCGTTCTCCGTGGAAGACAAAAGGGTCACTGGGGTGAAGGGAAGCGTTTTGAAGTAGAAACGCACATCAAATATAACGCACCCACAACCGCCCTCCTAAAGGATACCGCTGTGTTTCTAATTCAGTAGGAACTTTGCGGGAATGATGGTAGGGGAAATTAAATTGATTGGCAAAGTACGATCCTTAGCGTTTGCTAAGCTGGTGCTGGGGAGACCTAACTTAACCTTTTATAAGGGAGTAAATTCTTTCCACCCACACCTGCTTAGTACTCCAGAGGTGACTATTTTTGGCGTCATCTCTGTTACCTGGCGTTTGGGAGGTGAGGGGTTTCAAATGGGGTGGTGATGAGGAGTGGGAAATCTTTCTCCATAAAATCTGATAATGAATTCTTTCTGGTTGATGTTCTGTTCAGGCTGCATCCTCAGGCTCTGAGGATCTCATAACGCAGTGCCCTGGGGGTAGCTTCCGCAGTGCTGGGGGCTCATGCAATGTTGGGGTGGTCCCTGATAATGAATGAATTCTTGGGAGAATCACCTGCTACTTCAGACAGAGAGGGCAGTGATGTAGGGAAAATGTGGCTGGTGTGTGTGGGGGTGGGTGCAGTGTAACCTGAAAGTGTGATGTAGGGGTAGTCATCTGTTTAATGTCCTTGGCTTTAGACTTGGGACCCAGTCTTTTCTGTGGCAAATTTGGAGCTGCAAATTTGAGAAGCAACTAGATTGCTTCTCAGACCACTCAGCTCCTAAGATTTTGTGAGTCTGATCCCTGCCTTGAGAATGGAAAAACCTGGGAAACGGCGGGAGCAAGGGTTTTCTGAAGGTTTTTACCTTCAGAATCAAGGAACTTTGCTTTCTAGCTTGTGGGCCTTTTGAAAATTCTGTCAGTCACAGGTCATATCCGGAACACAGTGCTTTGTCATTTTATTTCACAAAGGACGCCAGATATATGTTTGGGGCATGCACTGGTGGGTTGTGATTGGGGGTGGGCTGTGGGGGGTGAATTTCAGGTACACACTGAGAACCAGAACCAGAACCAGATGAACTGCAGAACTAGGCATTGCCTCTACTCCCAGCTGCGTTTCTGAGTCAGGTGCTATGATCCAAAAGTGAGGTCATTGTGAACTGCAAGTAAGGTGTGCTGGACAAGTGACTTACCTGTTTTTTTCTTATATAAACAATGATTTTTCAAGAAAAGTAGACTTGTGGTCTAGAGAAAGGCCTAAAATATATCCATAATAGTGTAAGGCCGGTCATCCACAGAACCGTTTTTCTCTGGTTTATTCCGTTCTATTATTTTAGTGTCTGTCAAAACAAAACATGTGGTTAGTAAACACATCCTCTCAATTTCCCCAGTTAGCCAATTATAGAGGCAGGCCTTTTTCTTCAAAATAAATTCTTACAAATGCAAAACATTTTCAAATGGAAACAATCTATAGCAAACAGTTTTCTTTGTGGCAGGTTATTTTACATCAGACGTTTTAATAATGACGTTAGTGCTTCATAATAATATACTTGTACATATCATTATACCTCACATACAGTAGCCACTCAGTATTTATGGAACTGATGTGTAAACCCATTTTTTATCAAAGCAGTAGTAGGATATTGAACATCAAATATTCTCACAGAAGAGCTATTCAGGATCAGAGGTAGCATTGATTCTATCTGTGGGAGTGAATCCCGAGAATAAAATTCTAAACTGGCAGCCACAAAGGGGGACAGGGGTCATGCATGTTCCATGGTTATTTCCACTTTTTTTTAAAACTTGGGAGAAAGGGGGGCATGGGAATTCACTGACCTACTGAAGGACAAACTATTAAGGTAGAACTTGAACCTCAAGGCTGTCAGATTCAGGTGCCCAAGACTGCCTAGTACTTTAAGAGATAAGATGCAAATAGGCCTCCGAGCAAGTCGGAACAGGAAGAACTGCTGGCTTCTTGATACTTTTGTTCTGTATCTTGCAGGCTAGTAGAGAAAGGAAATAATTCAGCTCCACTCCCTTTTCCTGTACTAATCACCACCAGCAGGGACTCCTCCCTGCCAGAGCCCGTGGGTGTTGGAATTGGGGTCTCACTGTCTTCTTGCTTTCTTTAGCAGTTGTTCATCACCGAGGTTGTGGTCCCTGGATTTGCCCATTCAGCATCACCTGGGAACTTGGAACAAATGCAGTTTCCCAGCCTTCCCAAATGAGAGCGTGAGCCCCGGGCCCAGCAAGCTGTGTTTCAGCAAGTCTTCTTGGTTTTGATTCAGCTTCTGATGTAGGCTCACATTCTGGAACCATGGTCCTAAGAGTTAAGTGTTTCTTTCAGGAAGCCTTCCATACATACCCGAGAGAGAGGCAAGATAAAAAGGAGAGATTTGTACAATATTTCAGTTTCTTTTTGTTTTTGGGCTTTTGGGACTACATACTCCTGGCTCATTGCTCTGGGATCACTCCTGGCAGTGACTGGAGGACCATATGGGGGTGCTGGGAATTGAACTTGGGTCTGCCAGAGCATGACAAGCAAATAATTCACTGTATTTTCTGGCCACTAGAAAAAAAATTTTTTAAAGGTGACGAACATGTAGATTTCATTTTATTTATTTATTTTTTATTTTTTTGCTTTTTTGGGTCACACCCAGCGATGCACAGGGGTTACTCCTGGTTCATGCACTCAGGAATTACTCTTGGCCTTGCTTTGGGGAACCATATGGGATGCTGGGAATCAAACCCGGGTCGGCCGCGTGCAAGGCAAAGGCCCTACCCGCTGTGCTATCACTCCAGCCCCTAGATTTCATTTTTAAATGTTGACATCTAAAAATTAACCTGTTTTGCCTCTTGTGAGGTTTGGAGATGACTAAACAGGGGCTTGGGGGAATCAGAAAGATTAGTGTGGGGAAGGAAGAAAAGAAACCAATAGTGATTCTCTTTCTCCAAAGGTCTGGATTCAAAAGAGTGCCTTTTTTTTTTTTTAAATCGATTTTGGGGAAGTGTTTTTCTTAAAGATTTCCTGCTGAGACAAATTTGAGAAAAGAAACGGAAGTTGGGTGAAAGAAAGTTATGCAGGGGTAATAACTGTTGTTTTGACTTTTTCCCCCTTCAAATGGCTGAGGGAGAGCAAAAGCTATTATACTTAAATTCAGAGAACCCAGCCTTTCTAATTCAGTGAATGATATTTCAAGAAGCATTCAGACTTTGATTTGCTCTGAATAAGAAAAATTAAATAAAATCTCCCCTAGAAATTAGGTTATGATGCAATTTCTTCCAGTAGCCTCATTACTTAGGAGCTGCGCAAATATCAAAAACTTGGACTAACACTCGTTACATTGATGTAAACTGAATAAACCAGATGGCTTACTACTGATCTTATCCAACCGGCAAACGCTAGTGATTTATCATCAAGTCTTGAGTATGGGATTTTGACTTGATAAGAACTAAATTTGTTGGGTAGATTTTTGAATTTATAAAAATTCCTTTCTGTTCTTAATTTACCCAACTTGAAATGGAGATGTAGAGTTTTAGTTCGCAGGATTGCCAGTCTTTAGACATATCATAGATAAGTGTGGCAGTTTTGAATCAAACAGTAAGAGAGCAAAAGATGTACTCAGTTTGGAATTCTCGGTCTTAAGCAAATTTAAAGCTAAACGTGAAAGCAGAGATTTAGTTTTATTACAAAACAGCTTCTCCAAACTTTTAAAGCCAAATGGAGTTTTTTTCCCTCTCATCCTATCATGCATGGTTGAAGTATGTAGCCCAGATGTAATCG